CTGCAGCTATGTGAAGCGCCATTCTAATTCGTCTAGAACCAGGGAGAAGATTGCAAATTATCTGGTGCCATTTTGAAGAATAGAAGAGTGAAATCATGGTTTTCATGTAAAGAATGTTTACACACTGCTCTGTGATTTTGACTCACACACATGATTTTCATTTCTCTTTCATTTTAATCTCTCATCTTGGTCGGCCTCAATTTGTTGACATGAACAGGGTGGTTTAGTTTTGCCCAGGGACTTGCCCTGTCTTCTATAATAGAAAGTTTTACTATAATTGCTTGTACTGAAACTGTTCCTGAATCATACACTAGAGGATTAAGCAATTCCTTTTCAAGAATTAATAAGTTTTTTTTAAAAATTCAATGCGTCATCTTTTGAGTTATAATGACTTTATGGACTAGTGAGTAAAGTTTATGTTTCCATGTCCTTTTGCCACCAGTGTTGTTGTTAGGTGCTACTGAGATGACTATGACTCAGAGTGATTCTATGAAATATAAATGGAAGCATATCTGATTCTACACTATCCTCATAGTCCCCACCAGGCTCAAGCCCATTGTTGCAGTCACCAGGTCAAGCCATCTCCCTGACTGTCTTCCTCCCTCTCATTGACTCTCTATTTTTCTCAAATTGATGTTCTTCTTCAGACTCTGGGCCCTCCAGACAACATACCCAAAGTGTGTGAGAAGAAGCTACATCTTTTTTGCATCTAAGGAGTACCTTGGCAGCACTTCTAAAACTTTTAAAATTTTACTTTTTATTAATTTTTTAAATTTATTTACTCTTTTGGTAACATATGGTATATTCAATATTCTTCAACAACATTACAGTTCAAGTATATGAATTTTTCTTTGGTCTTCCTTATGCATTGTCCAACTTTGCTGTCATTGTTGTTATATGCCATTGAGTCACCTGTGACTCATAGCGACCCTATGTACAACAGCTCTGAACCCTGTTCTGTCTTGAGTCAGCCTCACTGACTCCGACGCACCTAATCCTGTTACACACCTCCCCCCCTCCCCCAGTTACTGTATACTGTATTAATCCATCTCATCTGGGGTCTTCCTCTCCTCCTCCTTCTATCCTTCCAAACATGATGTTCTGCTCCAAGTCCTTGCTGGCCACATGCCCAAAGTATGTGAGATGGAGCTTCAAAATCCTTGCCTCCAGAAGAGATATTTGGTTTCACCATCTCTACGACAGACTTATTTTCTCTCTTGGCAATCCATGGTGTGTGTTCAATACACTTCTCCAGCACCACAACTCAATAGTCCCAATCAAATGCTACATTACCTATATTCCCTTCCCCTCGCCAATTTCTTGATATTTAATTTCTCCCTGGAGAAAGCTATACAAAAGATGAGCTTGTTGAAGAATAGAATATTCAAACAAAACACTGGCAAATTTCCCAAGTTAGCCTCCATTGAATCTTAAAATAAGTCATCCTTTTTCTGGGCCAAAGTTAAGCACTGCTTTGCTCTTAAAGAAGCTCTTCAGTCTAGCATATATTACTTATTTTCAGTTGTATATTTTCCCCCATATCTCCATTCTATATTTCCTGTGGCTTTCTCACTCTAAATTCTTGGCTTTTGTACTTCTTCCCCCCCCCCTGCCTTAAGTACAAACATAAACCTCTTTGGAAGAGTCTATAGCTAACTAAATATTTGTCTTTGGGTCCAACTTCAAATATAATAGAGAAAACAGTGGGAATGATTCAGTGTTATTTTAGGCTATTTTTCTTTTGCAACTTGTATGACCTTGATGCAAGTGGGAAACAGACATTATGAAACAGTAATATTCATAGTAATAGAAACGACAGATACTGATGTTTTGCTCCAAGTTGCTATGAGTCACTGGTGACTCAATGGCATATAACAGCAGATGCTCTGCTGGAGAAGGAGGGACAATCTCCTCCTGTATCAGTCAGATCCGATTTGACAGTACACAGACACACAAAAAATAAAATTTTTTAAAAATAAAAGAAAAAAACCCAAATGATCCGTTTCTACACTAAAAACAGTATGACTTATAAGACTAGCTGTGAAAATGACTCCTAGGACTAGCTGTGAATCTATCTTTCAAGAAGTAAATCAGAACCTGAGGAAGTTTTTGTCCACACTTTATAAAAGCTTAAAGGCATTTTAGGTCTTCAAAATCTAATACAGAGTTTAGAATGCAATGGAGGAGTGATTAACGCAAAAGTTTCTGAAGATTTGGAGGCAGCTGGTGAGGGAGAGACCGCTAAGAGTTTTGAAGTGATTACTATCTGTTAAGCAGAGTGGAGGTTGTGTCGATGGAGCAGAATCTGGCAGGATTTTGGTCTATTATACATAGGGTAGCTGTGAGTCTTGATGTCACCTAACCAAAAAAAAAAAAAAAATCCTATTTTTAAACAGTTGCAGAACAGAGATGAAAAGAAAAAGATAGCACAGTCTTTTAGATTAGGAAAAAGGAAACTTTACGCCAAATTTGATTTTGTCTGTTGGTTTAAAATATTAGGAAACACCATATTATTGTGAATGGGCGAAGCCTCAGTGATAATAACACAATTTCAAAAATGACTCAAAAATAGAAACATTTTACAAATAATTTCCTCTAGGATAGGAAACGGGGAGGGGGGAAATCCAGCCAACTATTTTTTATATGTACCCTCTGTAATCCATGTCATAGTACTTAAATCAGTGTTTACCTAGTTTTAAGGCACAAATAATCTATGAAAATTCTGTTAAAATGTTGGTCCTAGTTCAGCAGGTCCGGGGTAGGCTGACACTGTACATTTTTCACGGCCCTCTTCTGATGCAAAGAACTCTCATCTGGTTCAAGGCCCACACTGACGAAAAGTCAGTTCCTTGTGTCAGTGGCCTAGTGAGTTACTAAGGGGCTGCACTGTCAGGACTAGAACTTCAGTTCGACTCCATCATCTCTTCAGCGGAAGCGAGATGGGCGGTCCTCCTGAGTGGTTTTGCTGCCTCTGAAAACCACTGGAAGGTCAGCTATTGGTCGACTGTACGTAATAACAACATTGTTTTGTAGTGTCTTCCAACTATTCATGGTTCAGAAAACTAAAGAAACTAAGAGAAATTGAAGCCCTAGGATTGTATCTTTCTGTCCTTATACTTTCTTGCTTGCTTTATTAATAACGCTGAGCAGTAGAATTAAAGATAAACGGGTTAATCAATTCGGGTCGAGGAGTTGTATAGTGGGGGTCTTTGTAATCTCTGTCCATTGGCTGAGACCGGTAAACGCTCAGTGGAAACTGAACAGCAATACGTAGTTAAGTACGAAAGTTAGTTTCCTGTTTGGGAAAGGGAAAACGAGAGAGAGAAAGAATGTAGCAGGAGGAGGGGGGAAGAAATATCTTAAAAATTTAATTAAATGGTGAAATTTGAAGAAAATGGAGGTGTCAGGGAAGCGAAAGAGAGGAAGATGAATAAAAATGGACAAATCTCAACCAAGACTGGAGTATCCAGAAAAAGTAAGCAAACACAAAGTACCAGCATCAGAAATTAAATAAAGCTATCCCTACAGCCAACAAAAGAATAATGAAGTTAGAGATTTCTCTCACTCTAAGTCAGAATCAACTCAGAGCTGCACATCCAACTCATTGGAAGATTTCTGGCACTTTCGGTAAAGCTGCTGACGGGAGTAAAGAAACGCCCAACGTGGGGCTCGAACCCACGACCCTGAGATTAAGAGTCTCATGCTCTACCGACTGAGCTAGCCGGGCTACACTGACAAAGCGGCTGAAACACCATGCCACATACTTTGCTGACGTTAAGTGAAGTCACTTTTAGGAAAAGTTTATGCTGCGAAAGGCACAAAGCAGAGCTTAGTCACACTGTGATTACAACCGTGGGTTGGAGCATGACGGATACTGTGACAATAGAGCAGGATAGGGCAGGGTTCCGATCTGCTCAGAGTTGCTGTTAGTCATAATCGACTGGGTGACACCTAACAACAGGAACAATGTTACACACGCATCAATTTAACAATGAAATACAACTATATGCAAGTTATGGGGGGGGGGCACTGGAAGCAAGAGTGGCATCCACTTCCTAAACAACATGCCTCTGGAAACTTTATGAACTTTGATAAATGACGATAGTTATGAAAAGGCTTCAGGCTTTTTGCTCATAGGATCGCTATGAGTCGAGCTCGACCAGACGGCAATCAACAACAACAGGTAAAAAGAAGTCTTTTAACTTGGAAATTACGCGACACACTGCTAAATGATATTTAAGTCAAAGAAGGATAATGGAAGACGAATTATTGTCTCTGAGCTGTTGTATTGGAGAAGAGTACTGAATGGACAGCCAAAAGAAGGACTAGGTATGTCTTGAGGCCAGTGCAGCCAGAGAGCTCTTTAGAGAAAAAAAGTGTGAAGTGGTGAAACATTAAACACAAAACAAAAAAAGAACGATGACGCTTCATCTCACATACTTTGATCATATTGCCAAAACAGGCTATTGCTTGGAGAAGGACATCACGCTTGGGAAGGTGGACGGTCAGTGAAAGCGAGAAAGACCCTCCACAAGTTGGATTGACACAGTGTCTGCAGTAACGGGCTCAAATGTGTCAGAGATTGTGAGGCTGGCCCAGGATAGGACAACAAGGTTCAGGTCTGTTATTCATAGGGTCACTGTGAGTCACACTCATAACGACACTGAGCAGCAAATCCTGCCAATCTCTTCCATGTTTGAACCCATTTTTACAGTCACTGTGTCACTCCATCGTGTTGAGGTTCTTCTTATTTGTCTCTTATTCTCTACCTTTTCCAGCACGATGTCCTCATCTCAGGACTGGCTCCCTCCTTACAACAAAGTATGTTAGACAAAGTTTCACCGTTCTTACTTCTAAGGAGCACCTTTCTTGTTTCTAAGGATCACCTGGCTACACTTCTTCCATAATAATGTGGGATAGAGAGGGTGCAGAAAAAACAAAACAGAACAACAGAAAGAAAGAAAAGAGGAAAGAAAAAAAAAAAAAAGAAACCCACGCCTTGGAGGTGCCGGGGACCGAACCCGGGACCTCATACATGCAAAGCATGAGGTTTACCACTGAGCTACACCCCCCACTGTTAACGCCTAAGCAGAGACTTGAGCATCAAGCACTCCTTTCTGAGACACAATCCTGGGAGTTTGCTCAAGACCGCTGAGCAGTACCAGCAGCTGCTTTTCAGGAAGAATTTAGGAACCAGAGGTAAGGATATGGAGTTTTTCGAGTATAGGATTACAAACTCAATCTCAATTATTTTGATTACCACTAGTCATGTATGTCTGAGGGAGCTAAGAAAAAGTCTGGATTCTCTCACTTCCTTTCCAATCTAAAGTCTAAACTAGCACTAAGAAGATAGAGGATTCCAAGTGAATTAAAGGGTGGACGTGAGACCCCAGAACGATTACTTTCAGGAGGCTAGAGTTATGGCAATCCTGAAAGATGAAATTAAAACAAAACTTGATTTATATGAATTGTCCACACATGTTGAATTTCCATTTCGTGCTATTCAATTTCTTTAGGTTCTGCAAATCAACCAATTTTCTTTTCTATTTTTAAAATAAAATTATTTCAGGAAACATCAGTTACATGACACTATCAAAGAAGTTACATATATACAGTTATCTATCTCTGTGTGTGTGTGTGTGTGAATGATATGGAAGTATTAAAATAAAAATTATTAGTTGCCAAAAAACCCAAAAGTTAGTATTTCACAGACATCTAGGCTCTTTCACTGTAAGACAACACCCATTCCTATTGTTGTTTCTCATGTAACCAGTCATATCTGATTAGAATTTTCTAGTGTTTATTTAAAACAAACACACTCTGCTGTGAAGAATTTATTATTTCTTTGGCATTTTTCCTACCTTCAGTTCACCCAGAGTACCATTACAAACATTTATTTGGATAAATTCTTTTTCTTCTTTCCCAATCATGTTGTTTGTTTAAAATACAAAACCATCAAAAATTAAGTCTACTGCCGTCCAGTCAGCCCCAACCTATAGCCCCCCTTGCACTGTGGATGTTGCTATATGCTGTCGAGTAGCTTGTGACTCATAGAGATCCTATATATACAATAGCTCTGAACCCTGTCCTATTCTAAACCAGTCTCACTGTCTCTGGCACACCTACCCTCATTACCCCAGATACCATGTCGGTCCATCTCACTTAGTGTCTTCTCCTATGCTGTCCATCGATCTTTTGAAGCATGATGTCCTTCTCTAAGGACTGGTCCCTTTTGACCACATGCCCAAAGTATGTGAGATGGAGCTTCAAAATCCTTGCCTCCAAGGAGCAGCCTGATTTCACTCTCTCCAAGACAGAGCTATTTGTTCTTTTGACAGTCGATGGTATGTTTAATACTCTCCTCTGGCACCACAACACAAAGGGATCAGTTTTTCTTCTATTGTCCTTATTCACTGTCCAGCTCTCTGATGCATAGCAAGTAATTGCAAAGATCACTGCTTGAATGAGGCACACCTTAGTCTCTAGACTAACATCATTACTCCTCAGTATTCCGAAGAGGTCCTTGACAGCTGACTTTCCCAATATAATTCATCTTTTGATTTCCTGCTACTGCTAGCAAGAATGGACTCAGGCAAGCTGAAACTGTTAACAACAATCTCAATCTCTTCTTCATCTATTTTGATGCTGCCAGTTGGTCCAGTGTTGATAATCTTTGTTTTCTTGATGATGAACTTTCAAAGCTGTAAATCTCTACAATAAGAGACTGTCCATCTTCCTGGTAAATTCTAATCATCAATCTTTGCCCAATTCATTACCTCCTAGGCTGCCAAGATCAATGGCATCAGCAATATCCTTCATGCCATGGCCTTTTCTGAATCCAGCTTGAATTCTCTATCATCATACAGTGACTATGGGTCCTTCCCACCTCCTTTTTATAAAAAAAATAAAATTTTTATTGTATACTGGTTTACTTAAACTATTGGTTCTTGATCATATGCTACGTCCTGAAATGGTTCATGTTGACCAATTATTTTTGGAACAGTGACTCTGTGTATTCCTTTCACCATCTTTTTTTATTATTTTTTAAAAAATTAATTTTAATGAGTTTCCAGAGACTTTGGCTTTCCATTCATTCATTCATTGTTGCACTTTTCTCCCTGCCCAACCTCCACCTCCCCCAGTTCTCTCTTCTCTTTGAAAAGTAAATGAAAAATTCTTTCATTGTTTTACAAACCCTCCCCCAGGTCCACTCCACTATGCAGCCTTCACTCTGGATTCCTGTCATGTCAAAAACACTTACTCACATATCCCTTTTAAACAGTTTTCTTCCTCATCTGCTTCAATGCTGTATACATTATTGAACCCATCTTTCTCAGTCTTCCCCCAACCTCGAGGTCAGTCCTGTTTTACAATAGTGGCACTATGCAGTATTTGTCCTTTTGTGACTGAGATACTTCACTAAGCATAATGTCCTCCAGGGTCACCCATTTTTAATAATATTGCATGAGTTTCTTGTTTTTCAATGCAGTGTAGTATTCCATTGTGTGAATATACCACAGCTTTTGTATCCATTCGTTTGTTGGTGGGCACTTAGGTTGTTTCCAACTCTTTGCTATTGTGAACAAAGCTGTGATAAACATAGGTGTGAAGCTTTCATCATCTTTTGATGCTTTCTGCATCGTTCAAGGTTTTGTCCATAGAATACTTCAGTGTTGATAACTCAAGCCTTCAATTAATTGTTCATTTTTTTCAGCTTGAAAAATGCCAAATGTGTTTCTAGAGTTTGGTTTATAACTAGCACCTTTCATTATAATAATTTGCATTGTCTTTTTGAGATGCAACAACAGCAATGATACTTGCAGCATGATACTGTTTGGGCTGCTAACCAAGAAGTCGGAGGTTCAGATTCACCAGCTGCTCTCTAGGAGAAACATGGTCAGTCCCTCCATGTAAAAACTTACAGCCTCAGAAATCTGGTGAAGGCTTGTTATGGAACCAGAATTGTCTCAACACCATTGGGTTATTTATACTCAAGTATAGAATATACTAAAAAAATACTTTAAATACTTTTATTCATTTGTTTTAGCCTATGTAAAAGACTAATGTATTTCCAAAAATCAAAGGAGTGCAGAAAATTGTAATCACAGAGTTTGCACAAGACTATCGCCTTGAGATTCACATGAACAATGAAGGAAAATGGAGGAACCCTGGAAAATCAGATTGGAATATCAATCCTCTCTACCATGAAAAAGTACTCTTATCATTAAGGTACACTTCTCCTTGAACATAAAATGAACTTGGTTGCTCCATTCTCAAAGACTTAAAGAAAAGTATTCTCAAATGAATGTTATATGAATGGGTATAACTTAATGGGTAGAGCACTTGTTTAGCATGTACAAGGTCTTGGATTTGGTAAGATACTGCACAGCAGTCCCAAAGGCATGCTGTTCAAATCCACCAGCTGCTTCACGGAAAAGGAGGAACAATCTCCTTCTATGCAATTTATTGTCTCTGAAAATCCACTGAAGGGTCAACTATGGGTAGGTTCTGACTAGAGAGTAAAAATACAACAATAACCTCTACTTTTTACTCTCTAAAAGATAGCCATTGGCATTCCATTTGCAGAAGACCTTCACCACCAGTCCCTATAGTTTCAGAAGAGTTGCCCATTTTTATGGAACTATTTGACATTTCCCAATGAGTGAGTACCCTTAAGTACTTGACCCAGAATATAATGATCACCTTAACTAAGCAATCTGACCATCCAAACCAAAACATGAATTCAAAATTTTTTGTCTTTTGACCTAAACTAGGTGGATGTCTTGTAAGAGGGAAGCTTGAAGACCATGGTAGGGGCATTTCCTCTGTAGAAAAGGAAGAGATTCCTTATTGCAGAAGACTCCGTAATAGATGAGCAATCAAAAGATCTAGAGGCCTTTCATAATCCACCGTCTCTTTTTCCTCCAAAAGCTATAACTAGTTTCTTTACAAAAAGCTGTCATGGAGTCGAGTATGACATATAGCAACCCTGTCAACAACAAATTTGAACCTTGTCCTATTCTGTGCCATCCTTGCCATCCATAATATGCTTGAGCCCATTGCAGCAGTCACGGTCAATTTATCTTGTTTAGGGCCTTCCTCTCTTCTGTTGATATTCTATGATGTCCTTCTCCAACAATAGCCTCTTCTAGGAACATGCCCAAAGTATGTGAAATGAAACTTTGTCAGCCTTGCCTCTAAGGAGCCCTCTGATTGCACTTTCTCCAAGATATATCTGTTTGTTCTTTTGGCAGTCCATGGGATATTCAGGACTCTTCTCCAACACAGTGATGGGCAAGGCATCAATTCTTCATCCTTATTCATGACACAGCTCTCAGATGCATAGCAAGTGATTGACAAGAAAATGGTCTGAATCAGGCACACCTTAGTCTCAAAACGGACATCATTATTCCTCAGTAATTTGGAGAATTCTTTGATTGCAGACTTGTCCGATGCAAGAGATATCCAAATCCACTTACTGTCATGGAGGCAATTTCAATTCATCGAGACCCTCCATTGGGTGTGAGAGTATCTGTCTTATTTTCTACTGTGTGGCTTGTGGGTGGCAACTGCCCAGTTTACCCACCGTGACACCAGAACGTCTTAGGAAGAACTAGAAAAGTTAACAAAAAGCAAATTTCATTAGAAATTCTTCCAGGTGGTTGAGGGTGCAGTCTGGTGATTGCAAAGATCATGGCTTGAATCACTTGCACCTAAGTCCTCAGACTAACATCGTTTCTCCTCCGCAATATGGAGAGGTCCCTGACAGCGATCTTGCCCAATGCGATATATCTCCTGATCTCCAGAACTTTGATAAATGAGGAGAAAAGTCCGAGGAGCAGAAACAGTACATAGTTGGTCTGACACGCAGTGTAATAGCATAAAAGAGTAGTTAAGCGATTTAAGAAAGAGTGGCATTTGAAATGGCCTGTCATTCTTGTCAGTTGGTGAAAGGGAGATCCACCAAGACTTCTTAGAATTGTCTACTATTTCAAGGAAAGTTTTCACTCCCTCTCTCTCTCTTTAGCTGTGGGTAAATGAAAGCAGGTACTTGAGAAGGTTCGAAACACGC